ATTCATTGTTTAACAATCTTGAGGTTACAGGCGTAATGATTGTCGTATAGTGTGGGTAGCAGTCGTTGGTAAGATTATATGATGGTGTAGATATGTATTAGATGGCGAGTATTGGTTTGATAGGGACATGTAGATTTAAGTTTGAGCTTGATTATGAGATGGATAGGGTTCCTTATCTGGGATTTTGTGTGCCCTTTAAATGATGAGTTGAGTTAGGATGTTGTCATGTTCTGGGGTCTTGTGACAGTTTTCTTTTGGGACTTTGGAGCCTTTCGTGGTTGTGTGGAGTAGGCCGATGTTCGTCTTGAGTCAGGCGTAAAATCTAGCTGATCTTGTGTTATGAGGAACAGGAGAGATGAGTACCCGTATGGGGCTTTAGTGGCAGTAGTATGTTATTGCCTAGTAACGAGTGGCAGTAGTATGTGATTATCTAGTGATGTCCAGCATCAAAGGCAACAATGTTGGTGGGTTCATGGTCTTGAGGTTTTGTGAGGTTTTCTCGAGGTTATGTGTGGCTGTGAGCCTTATTCTTTAAGGAGGGTAGATTTCGAGGACGAAATCTTTTAAGGAAGGTAGGTTGTGATGTTTCTGTTTTTAACTATTTTCTATTTTTGGGAATTTTCTGATTTTTTAGGGACATTTTCGTCTTTTCTCGTTTTGCGTACCAAACACAATGGAGTGTGCCGGTTGTGTCCGAGAGTTGGTTGGGGGCATTTCATTGAGTTCAGGACTCTTTGAAATGCAAGTGTTATCATTTCAGCATTTTTCAATTTTCCGGACCGGACAGTCTCGGGTGAAACCGTTACCAGAGTTGTTGTGTACGGGAGTTGTGTCTCAGGTCAATTGCATACCATACATTAGTATTTTTGTGCCTAAGTAAATTATTTAAGTGCTGAAGTGTGTGGCTATGATATAATTGGAGCATATATATTGGTGGTAGAAATTAAGAAGAAAAGAAAAGAAATATATATATATATATATATATATATATATATATATATATATTTAAGTGGGGCCCACCCTCTACTTTAATTTTGAGGCCAAGAGACCACATTGGTCTCATTATCTCTCACTCTCCCGGCCATCTCTCTCTCCTCTCATTTCTTTTGCATTTTTCTTTTTTCTTGAGGCTTTGATTTTCTCTTCCATTTTTCGGCTAATCGGTCGGGTTTCAGGTCTAGGTTCCTTGACAGAAAACGTTCCTCTCATTGTTCTCTATCACATAGTCAAAGGGTTTATTTTTCAGAGGAGCAATAATTATTTTATGAATTTTTGAAATTTGTGGATCTAAGGCTTTGGATGGGATTTTGGGCCACTTAGAGTCGGATTCCGGAGCTCACCCTTTGGAACAGTGGAATCACCTCGTCGACGGCTACGTTCCCACTAAACAGTTTTCCGTTCCACCGCTGTTGACCGGCGTTGACTTTTGTTGACCGGCATCAACCGCGTTGACCGGCGTTGACTTTTCCGGCTGGGGATATATTTTGGCTACTTTTGAGGTAGGGGTATTCTATACATAAATTCTTGTGCTTTTTGTGAGTTTTCTTGTTTAATTTAATGTTAAGCATGCTCAATTTGTATAATCTCTTACAAAAGTAGTTAAAATGTTGGTTATGGAACACATGACTATTTGTTACTTGTTGTGTAGTGATTCTTTATACATGTGACGTTAAATTCATGTTTTAAATGCTTACCATATTAAATTGATGTTGATTGAAAGCATGAGTTATGTGTTTTGGAAAATTATGTTGGATGGTATGTGTAAAAATTTTATTGTTGAATTGATGATTTGAAACATGGATCATTCCTGCATCCATTGGGAAGAGAAATGGGAAAAGTATTTTTAAAATAAAGGAAATTAAATTTTGGGAAAAATATTTTCTAAAAGTGTTTGCGAAAACCCGGACGCCTAGGAGTCGCCAAGTGGTCTGTGGTGTTAATGTGATCTAGAGGGGGATAGAGAGAGACTCTAGTGTGGTTGAGCTACCCAGACGACGCCATGGAGGTGCCATGTGGTCGGGGAAGACTAGCCAACCTCTCCCTCGTGATGCCTTGGAGGTGCCTTGGGTCGGATTACACTAACGGTTTGGAAGTTGAAACGGAAATGTTTCGGAAGTAGGGAGCGACATGAGCATGGCATTGCACGTCATTGGCATACATGGCGTATTTGTGAATTAGATGACATTTGTGTTTATATTGGATGTTGTGGTTATGGTTCACATCCCCAGTATAGTATAATCCCGTTTTCATGCTTTCTATTCTCTATGTGGATCACGGGGTCATAAGAGGTGTGCCTTAGGCACCTCCTACAGAGCAATTTGCCCACCCCCTTATATTTAACATTTTTCAGGCCACGATCGGGAAGTAGTGGACGACGCTCCTCCACAGGGTTCGATAGGTTAGTAGATCGTTTTGATCTACTTTGTAACTATGATCTCATTTTATTATTATTATTATTATTATTTATAAACCCTAGGACGACACTTATATTATGTTTTGATATAGGAAAGAACGGTAACGTTTATAGTTGACCTTAGGTTCGGGTAAGGACCCGGTTAACGATTCGGACCCTCGGGTTTAGGTCGTTACAATATAGGTAGGTCACATGTCACACCAATGGTCTGGATTCGTGCATCAAGATCCCTCCATGAGCCAACTTTTAATGAGCTGGAATCTATTTTTTTTCGGACTTGAGGAAGTTCGATTGATCGAATTGTGTTGAGATCGATCGAACTTGGCTGAGATCCATCGAATGCTGCAGAGATCGATCATCCTTGGTGGCGCCTTTTGAATTAAGACAAATCTATGAGATAATTTTGGGAAGAGGACAAAAGTGGTAGGTGGGTGGTAGGTGTGGATAAGATCAAATCATTTCGATCGATTTAGGAAATGTTGGATTGATCGAACTTGCTGGATTCTTTTGGATAAGGACAAATGCTTGGATAGATCTTGAATTGTTTAGATTGATGAACTTTCGATTGATCGAAGAAATGTTGAGAATGATCGAACATGCTGAATTTCCACACTTTGCTTCATTTTGCTTCCACTTTGCTCCTTTCTTCTATTCAGCTTGAGTTAACTTCTTTAATGCTCTTATTTGGTTGAATTGACTTATTTTTTGGATAATCACCTAAAAAGGGCAATAACACAAAATTAGTCTAAAACGGAAAAGTAAGATAGATAAAAGTCCTAGAATACCTTAACTTAAGGGGTTTAAATGCGCACTTTTCAGTACTCATCAGTTTTTACAATAAAGGCCGGCTTGGTTTGTCACTTAGAAAACAATTAGTGAACTGAAAATTAGAAAAAGATATGAAAACTTCGTTTGGTTCAATTTTCTAAAAGCTATTTTATGAAAACTATAAAAGATAATTATCTGAAAACAATTTTATATTTATGTTTTCTGAGTAACAAACAAAGCAGATTTTTCCAAGGAGGAATTCCAACTTGCAAAAAAATAAAATGCCTAAAATTGAATTTTTTTTTTTTTTTCCTTGGCAAGATTCTCACACACCCATTTAGCCCTATACGGACTTGAACCCTCACCTGTCACTTTTGAAGGCTGATCTGTCACTCTAGAACCTTTTGTGCCTAAAATTGGTTGTAAATTGTTATGTGTGACCTGTCTTATATTTGATTTATTGATTTTGTTAGGGCAAAGTATAGAAAACCCCCCTCGACTTGTAACCCTTTCCAATAAATCTCCGTTGTCCAATTTTTTACCAAATAACCCCCCTCAACTATCTAAAGGGTGTAAAGGAGTTAATATTTGAACCAAAATGCTCTTTTATTTAAATCTTAATTTTCTCGAACTTCAAAAATTCATATCTCACAAATCGTACATCCAAATATTGCAAGTAATATATGCACAGAAAGCTTATAAAACAAAGATTCCAGAAATATAAGATATATTTAACAAAACTTCATAACCAGAGAGAAATAGACAATCTAAAAATCTATTGTAATAATTTTATTTTATTTTTTATAAATTACTCGGGTTATTTGAAAGAAATTTTTTAAAATTATTCACTTTCATTTGGAGCATAACATAGAAAAACATTAGCCCCAATAGAGACTGAATATTTATTTTTATATTTTTTTAAATGACAAGTCTATAAAAGAATGAAAATACTTTGACGCAAAATGTGATATCTCATGAAATTGATCTCTGTTGGAGTTAAATTTTTAACATATTCGGCTCCATATGTAAATGAATAATTCTGAAAATTTTCTTACAAATATCTCGAGTATTTTATTTATTAAAAATAAAATAAGATTGTTGGAGTAAATTTTTAGATTTTCTATTTTTCTCTGGCTATGAAGGTTTGTTGTACAAATCTTATATTTCTAGAATCCTTATTTTATAAACTTTCTGTAAATATATTATTTATAATTTTTAAATGTATGGTTTGTGAGATATGAATTTTTAAAGTTTGAGAGAATTAATATTTAAATAAAATGACATTTTTGTCAAATTATCAACTCTTTTACCCCCTTCAAATAATTGAGAGGGGTTCTTTGGTAAAAAATTAGACAAGGAGATTTATTGAAAAAATGATACAAGTCTAGGGCTCTTTAATAAAAAATAAATAGGTAAGAGGGATTTACTAGAAAAGGCTATAAGTGGGGTTTATTGTACTTTGCCCATTTTGTTACGAGCTTGAGCGAAAGTAAAAAGTGCGAGAATTTGAGACTGGGAGCACTATGGTTTAAACTTCAGAGGAAGGGAGGCAATTAGTAAAACAGCGTAGGTTCTTAACGAACTTGTAATATGGATCTCCTTATGGGACTGGGAGCACTATGGTTTAAACTTCAGAGGAAGGGAGGTAACTAGCAGAACAGTTTAAAATTGTAGGTTCTTAACGAACTTGTAATATGGATCTCTCCTTATGCATGATGACTTCAAATTAAGAATTGTATCCGACTTTTAATTTGGATCTCCTTCTATATGACAACTTTATTGTTGAATTTTTATCCTGTACTGAAGCAAAGCTTGAAATTATTTGAGTTTTAATCCCATTAAAATCAGCCTTTTCTTGATCGGAAGACTTGGGATTTTCTTTAAGCCATTCCAAAACACCCTCGTAATTCGTCAGTTTCCCACAATACCCCTCCTTTCTTCCACGTATCTTTTCATTCGCTTTGAGTCACACCAGAAGCTTACCGTGGACCTCCCTCTGAAACTCCAATCTCTCACACAATTTCACTCTATTTCTCTCTCTATAAATACCACTATATCGAGATATATATATATATATATATATATATTATACAGGAGAGTAGATGGAGAGAGTGAGGAGGATGAAGTCCGACCCTCATCCAACACCCCCATTAACTCCGGTGTCACCTTCCTCGACACCTACGACGTCCACAGTCCTTTCATCAACGAATTCCTCATCGCCAACGTACATTTAACACTTTTCACATTCATACGCTCGACTTACTGTAATTAACCCTAATTTTTCACGCAGTTGATGAAATTAATTTGTGTTCGGTTGCAGCTTTTCCAACGACAAGATTCAAATTCTCGGTGATCCGGTGTATCCCCGTCCGGACCACCAGCGAGGCCCGCTTGAAGCGGCTCGACACTAGCATCCCTATCGAAGATCACGGTACAAAACACTTGGCTTTCTCTTTTGTACTCCTATTAATGCAATTTATGATAAAGATTGATCATTTTTCATTTCTTTCACTGATACATATATGGGAATATGCAAATGAAAGTTAACAAATTGCCTGTTTTCTAAACGTATTATTAGTGTCCACCCACTGCTTGATGAATGTCTCAGCCAAAAATTGCAACTGTTTTCAATATGTTCATCAAAACACGAGAAATAGCAAGAAATAGGAAGGAAAAGTGCTACAAATTATTTTGGCGGACTTTTTTACACTATTAAAAAGCACATCACACTTGGTAGAAGCATCAAAATATACACATTGCAAAGTCACAAAGCTGATTTGTTGACATTTGTTTCTGCTGTATTCTGTAGTTTTTACTGCAATATGTATACATATAATATATGTGCATATGCATGAATAACTACACATATGTACATATATATTCTATTTATTCTATTCTTGAACACAAGCCAGGCACTTGTGGAAAATACACCTTTTCTGAAAACCATGAAATATAGAACCCAACGAGTTTTAAAACACTACAAAATCATTACAACACTGGTCCTCGAGGAACTAGAGGAGGCAGAGTCACGGATAGAGCACCAATGTTTTGGTTAAAGTTTTCAATCTTATTGGTGCCGGGTATGGGGCACACATCATTTCCTTGATGATGGACCCAGGCCAATGTAAGCTGTGATGGGGTGCATCCCTTCCTTGTTGCCATAGCATTTACTTGCTCAAATAAGTTCTTGTTATGCTTGACATTCTCAGGCTGGAACTTTGGCAGAACCTGCAAAAGATGAAACGTATACTTCAGTGTGAAAGAACTGCAAACGCACAGCATTAAAAGGGACCAAATTTAGGCATATTGTTCCACTCCTTGACAGCACTACCTAAGCATGTCATACCTTGATACATCACTCCTTGGAGGATTCAAGGAGGTTGTGGTTTCATGGATCACGGCAAAAGTAGTATTTAAGGAGTGATGGAGCGGGGATCAACCCCATTGTGAAGGCGACTCCTTGTCATCACTAGCTAGCAAAATCAAATCTGATGAGGGACTGAAAAGAGATTACAGGACACATGTTCCTCTTTGAGAGTGAAAATTTACTGGACATTTTGTCCTTAGCATCTTAGCTATCCTTAAAATTGTGCTTATTAGGCTACGCAAGGTCTTATGAAAAATGGCCGCTCCATTTACGAACAAGGTGTCCTCTCACCATTAAGGCATTAACCCTAGATCTCAGTCACCTCTCTCTTCTCCTCTCATTCCTCTACTCCTATAACCATTCCTCAAGTTCTACCGGCATGATTTATACATATTCAATACACACACCTATCATATAAATATTGTTACAAGTGGACATAGATTAACAAATTCTCAGTAAACAAATTTGGTTCCTGATCGTGATTAAACAATAAGCTCTCTTTTCCAAGTATGTAGTGATTAGAGAAATTAAATGTTACATAGATAAAAACAACAGGGAAAAAAGGAACGGAATCCAGTTCTTGTGGAACGTTAATTACCCAGTGAAGATATTAAGTGAGGATAAGAAATTTTTTGAAAGCTTGATATGACCATTAATGAAAGAGGAGGTCAAAAAGAATGTTCTGGACATCCATAATACTATATAGTGATGATGATAATAATTTTTCTTATGCTATATGCTACATAAGTCATTCTAAACTCAAAATATTATACGTATGCACTAACCTTACAGATGTCACCACTCCGACAACTCCTCAACCATCTTGGGACCTGAAGACAGGAATCCTTGTCCTAGAAGACTGTACGCACCGTGACTTCGATGGGGATGCTAGTGTCAACGCGACGCTAGTAATAGAGATCGATGCAATTGATGCTGAGGCGCTTCAAGCTGCCCTCGCAGGTGGCCCGAACATACGCTGGATCACCATTCCCACGCACCTTGCCCTCGGAAAGGATGCTACCGAACTTCGTTCCTAATTCAACGCTCTCTCTAAACCCTCCCAGAGCCTGACCATAAATTAATTAGATCCATCAATTATCTATAATATTAGTGTTAATTAAAGTAAGTTGCCGTGCAAATAGATGTGAATATATATATATATATATATAACTTGCCAATGAGTATTTCGTTGGTGAAAGGACCGTTGCGGTCGGAGCCTCGGAGGTGTCAAGTAAGGTGGCTCCGGAGTTAATGGCGTGGTGGATGAGGGCGATAATGTCGGAATCGGGCTTCGGAGGACCATAGAAGAAGGACATGCCCGTGCAGACCAGTCCTTGTGCTGATACTTCAAGACCTTGCGAACCTAGCTTCATCCTCCTCACTCTCGCCATTTTCTGTATAGATCTCTGTTTCTCTCTCTCTCTCTCTCTATATATATATATATATTTATATATCGATATAGTTGGCAACAGAGCATGTGCTAAGAAGGGTATTTATAGAGAGAGTGAAATTGTGACTAGAGGAAGGCAACTAGGGAAGTGGTCGTTAAAAGGAGAAAAGGCTAACTGCTTACGTAATTGCTTCCGTTCCCTCCCATCTCACCAACTTTGAATATGGGTCATTCACAGTTCTCTAGACCTTTAAGTCCAATTTAAATGCAAAAATAATATAAACTCTCATGCAACAAATGATTATTTTTTTAACATAACACTTGGGAGGAATATGTTACATTGGGTGTATTCAACGTATTTAGTTTGGGTGTATTCAACATATTTATCTAGTCTAATAGTGTAATCTCCCTTTTTGTCTTATCCTCAAAGAGGAGGGAAAGTCCGAGTGTAAGCAAAAAATGTGTGAGGATAGGTGTGTGCGCTTCTTGCCATGAAATAAATAAATAAATCATATTTACTTATTTTTGCATCTTTAATTTAAAAGTACTCTGTATTATATTATTGATGCAATGGTTATTGCGTGGTGTAGCATTCTAGATTTAATTGCACTAGATGAAATTTGGATCTCATTAGTTTACTAAACCCAATACTTCTTTTATTCCCGATTCTTTATTCATTCTTTTTTTAAAAGATTTATTTTTGTATTAGCTGTTTTTTTATTTAATTATTACATGACACTTAATTTCAAAATTGATGTCCCCTGCTAACTTAAGATTAAATCGCATTCAGGTCATGAAACACCTTTTTGTCATGGTTAGTGTAGCATAGTGTTAAAATTTATGTAAAATGTCTGGAGTAAAGAGATCTTTGCTCAAGAACCTTTAACAAGAGGTTATACCATTGGACTCGAGACTTATGGTTTGAGAAGCTCTAAGTTCAACAACATGCTAAAGAATTCAAATGATGTATACGAATTTGGTAGGTTTCACACTTCAAATAAACACCAATGTGATTCTCATATTTTGTGTGTGGTCAAATTCACGCCAATTTAACACACTTATATTTTGAGTGTATTGAAACGGTGTATCAATTTTGGGATTAGAAAAAGTTTAGTTCAAAATTTGTACTATTTTTTATATTTAGTGCCACCAAACATAGCATCACTGACTTTGGTAATTTTACACACAAATCCATACCAATGTAACACTAACATTTCTAATGAAATTAGTGAATACATTTCTCCAATTAATGTTTAAACTGGGGTTATGAGTATGACATTATTGCTTGCAAGTTGATACCTCTATTATATTTCTGTTCTTGTGTTCATAAATTTGTGCGTTTTAACGAGTCAAGACTAACTTTTTATGGAAAAATTAGTACTTTTGAATCCATAACATTAGTCATTATTCTAAGAACATGCATCTTCGATTAATGGGTTGGCAACGCTGCTGGGATAAGATAATGGTTGGTAAGGTGGTGGAAGCGGTTCCAAATCTTCCTTTGAGAGACAGATGTATATTTGAAATGACAATTATACCCATTGGATTTTTAATTTCCCATTTACCATTATAACATATGGACAAGAATGTAAGGATAAAATTTAAATTTAAGTAAATTTTAAGCATGACATCAGGAAGCAATACTGAAGGATTTTTTTTTTTAAAAAGTAGAACACGAACATGGTAGGAATACATATATATATATATATATATATATATATATATATATATAATATTATATAAAAATAATAATAATTGTCACTCATTTTATGCACACAAATCATGGATGAAATAACTAATTTGGATATTAGGGTAGATATTTGTTATTTTTTGTTCTCTTAAATTATTATTCTTCTAATTAATCCATAATATATATTTTAAATTGTATTGAATCACATTCTTCTAAAAAAAAAATAAGTTACAAAACCACCTTGCTATGTCTTGAAAGTGTCCAAAACGTGTCTTTTTCATATCCATGTCGTGTCTCATCTGTCTTAGCCATGTACAAGGAAAAAAAAAATATTTAAAATGTTAAGACACTTCTAATATTTCCAAGTCTTCACAAAGAAAAAGTTAAATAGATAATTTCACAATTACACGTCATTTATGACACTTACAATTGTTTTACATGTTAATTTATTATGTAGTATCACTGGAGTCGTTAGCTTAGATGATATGTCTCTTTTTAAAATAATGGGTAAAGTATACTAACACCCCCTGAGGTTTGCCAAAAGGACACACAGATGAAACTTAGCCTATTTTGGGACAAAGACATTCCCTCAAGTTTGATACAGTTACCAAAGACACCCAATGGTAATGAATTGACATTTTTGCCCTTTGACCTTTATATTGACCAATTTGAAGGTTGAAATTACTTTTCCAACTTCTACTCACAAACCAGATCCTTCTTTCTCCCATCTTCTTCATCTTAAACACATGTTTTTTTTTTAAATAATATAATAATTTTTGTAGCTTTATATATATATCACACTCCTCTCCACAGCTTGTCGCTTCATCTCAGCCGACCTCGCCGTTCCAAGCGAAGCCACAAGCTCACCGTTGTATGTCATTCATGGCCGAGTCAGCCGACTTCTCCACAGCTGTACCGAGCCCATCACCGTCCCGCCGTTCACTCCCGTCGGCCGCTATCATCCAAAGCCACAAGCCCATGGCC